GGACTTTGGCCTGTTGGCGGTCAGGGGAGACTGGGGAGCTCCCTTTGGCTTCAGTCCCCAGCAGGAAGGTAAGACCTCGTCAGAAAGCCGAGATTTCGAAGATGCAATAGCTGGAAGTTGTATTTCTAGCCAAGGACGCCAGCTGTGTGCACATCACACACACACACACACACACACACACACACACACAGAGAAGGGAGATCCTGTGCAGGTCTCACCCACCTCCCTGACAAATGTATTTACTGGATGAGGGTCTTGAGTCACTGGAGCCAACGTGATGAGGAGGACAGGGTAAAACAGACTTTCCCTAATGAGTTTTCCTTCCTTGCTCTAGTTTCAAAAGAGGAACTGAGTCAGGATGGGCTCACCTGGACTTGTTTTCTGTCTTCCCTGTGGATGTCATGTCCCACCCTGCTCCTCCATTTCCTGTAATCCAAGACTGGATCAGTGACCCCAATGTCAGATGGGAGCACCATGGGGACATTCAGTGCTGCCCCCAAAGGACCGAGGATTGTCCTCTTCACACTCCGGCTCCATTTCACCCTCCAGGCCTCAGGTTCAATGCCATCTCCCCTGAGAAGTCTCCCTGGCCACCCTATGGTAACAAACAAGAGTCTTCCCTGTTATTCTCCATCACAGCCTCTGGTTTGTTCCCTTCCAAGCACCTCCATCGATCTGCACTTGTTTTATTTATTTGTGTGTTACTTGTTGATTGCCAGTCTTCACCCTACAAGCCCCATTAAGACAGGGACCTTGCTGCTGGCACGGCACCTGGCACGCGGTAGGTGGCCAGTAAATATTTGTTGAATGAATGAATGGATAAATGAATGAATGGGATCATCTTATCCAAGCTCCCGTTATCAATGATGATACTGAGTCCCCATGGGAAAAAGCGATTTGCCCAAGACTGCACGGGCAGGCAGTGCCCTCACCTGCAGCCCAGGTCTCAAGTCCCTTCCCAGTTGGGTCTCTCCCCTTAGCCAAGGTCCTTCCCCAAGAACTTCATACCCACCTGCCTGCTATCCTCTTAAGCCAGGCCCATATTTCCTTCGGAGTAATAATTAAAATAACATATTCACCAGCTGGTTTTTCTTTTCCTAGATTTAATCTGCCCAGGCTCTGATTTGCATATTAAAAGCACTAATTAGCCCCTCCGAGTGCTTGAGCACGGAGAGTGCAGTAACTGGTCATGTCGTCCCTGAAGACTCATCCCCAGCGCTCTGGGCTGGAGTTCGGATGGCAGCCGAACCCTGGGCAGGGAGAAGCCTGTGTGTCCCCACGTTTGGGGACTGGCCTGCCACATGGCTTCATCCTGTGGCTCTTTTCTCTTTGAAGTGTCGTGTTTGATCTATTAGCTTGTCTGTCAATTTTGGTTTTAGCATCTTTGCAATGTGCCACCCCTCCAGGCCACACCGAGGCTCAGGGCCAGGTCAGGTGGGTGGCCTTCGAACAGTGGTGCAAGAGTGAGCCCCCAGTCCATGCAGGGTGGGCTGTCTTCCTTCCAAGCTTTCTCCCATCCGCTTCCCAGCAAGGATGAGAGGGGCAATTCCAGCATGCCGGTCCCTTTAAATTATTCCTTTACTGGAACCATACAAAGGAATAGCTTAATCGCTGTTGTTATCATTTCCTTAAAAATAAAATCAGGGGAATGTGTGTGAAGGGAGGACTAGGGGGGCCGTCCATAAAAGCTGTCAGTCTGTGAAGTGGGATTTTGAGTGTGCTTCCAGCAGACTGATGCCCAGAGGTAGCATTCAGTGTCCCCCAAAGACGGCTCTCAGTTTTCTGCTCCGCCTGGGCTGAGATGGTAGATGGGGACCCACCTGCTCCAGGCACAGCTCTGGGAAGGAAACCGAAGCCTAACCCCCGCAAGAGCTTGCTGGGGAGCTGGTCCCAGAATTTCAGAAATTCCAGCCTGGCATGCCGCGTGCTGCTCCCCCAGACCCCGGGTTTTCACGAGCAAACAGCCCCTCCCTGGAAGGCCTGAGAGCCTGCGGGGGTTGGGCCACAGCAGAGAGAGCCAGATGGCGGCTGTGTGAGCACCAGGGGGCAGGGCCAAAAACCGTAAAAGGGAAGAACGCGCTGGCAAGAGAGTTTCTTTATTTCCCTCCTCGGCTCGGGGTGGGCTCAGCTCCGGTGGCTGCAGCTCACTCAGGCTTCAGGCTGGGGTGGGAGGCCGGGTACCATCCTGACCTGAGCACATGGCTGGCTGGAAGCAGGCCCAGAGCCAGGCGACCTCCCTGACTGACCCACGGCCACAGTCTGCAATCCTCGGCCACTGTGTGTGGTCTTGGCCCCAGCCTGGGCCAGTGCTGGAGCCAGAACACCCCTCACCCTTCCCAGGCCATCTTGAGACACTCACACAGCCCTCCCTTGTCCATTCCTGTACTCGCTCCAGATTCGCTTTCTGAGCAGCTCGCCTGCGCCGACAGCGGGATGGAAGACGGAGAAGGCGTCTGGAAGGATGAGACGTGTGACCTTGACTCTGTCTGCAGCCAGATCAGTTGCCCAAGGAAGCAGCCTAATTAGAGACACTGGCTTGGCTTTGAAAGGAAAGTGTCAGAAACACAGGCAGGAAGCTTCCAAGTCAAGTGTATTTCCTACAGTCAGCACAAAGGCCACGGGGAAAGGAGAGGGAGGAGGAGACGGCGTCCCGTGATGCTCTGTGGACAGACTACTATGGTTTAAGAATCTCACTTGACTTTGGCAGGGGTAATCACAAGAAACTCAAGGAAATGTGAAATCAGCTAAAAAGTTTTTGTCTGGCAGTCCAGACGGGAACTTAGGGCAGAACAAGGGCCAGTGAACCATGGCAGCCTGAGATTGAGGGGGCAGGAGAGCAGGCAGGGGCTGGAGTTCTCCCAGCCAGACCAGCCTGCGTGAAGCCGCAGAGGGCCTGGACCTTGGGAGATAGGGCCCAGCCTTGATGACCCAAAAGAGAGGTGACCGTGCTGGGCCACGGGGGCTGCCATGGGCGTGGAGAAGTTCCTCGAGGTCGGTGGATGGAAGACTGCAGGGAGGAGGAGGCAGTGTGGAGGGAAGGAGAGAGGGATCCCAGCAGAGTGGAAGCACTTGATGGTTCCCTTTGGGCCTCTGAGAGCACAGGCTTGGCTTGGGAAAGTTGTCAAATATTTCCGGCTTCCAATAACGAGATCCACAGGGGGATGTGGGAAAGGGAGCCATGCAAGCTGGAGCACAAGTCCACCTGTAATCCCAAGTGGAGGGCAGAGTGATGGAGGGGCTTTGCAGGACCCCCACGGGGGCTGGGAGCTGGCCCCAGAGACCACCAGGAGAACAGGCAGGGGGTAGCGGACAGAGCTGGGGACCTGACTGAGGTCTGCCGAGTGGCCTGATGCCAATGGGGCCCCCTGTTCCCGAGGAGAAATGATCACCCTCCTTCCATCCCAGATCCATGTGTGAGGAAAACAGCAGACAAAGGAGCACGGGCCCATCAGAAAGGGCGGTTGAGTGAGTGAACACTAATAATGAGGAGGACCTTGGCTCAAATCTGAAAACTTGAGGATCACAACTTACAAAGTCCTAAATTCCACCAGGAGATGCAAGTGTTCTGGATGCTACCTTCCAGGAATGGTGGGTTTTCCCTTAGGGAATAGAATCTTTCCAAAGGCAGAGCAGGAAACCCAAATCAATCTGTTGCTGAGAAAGTCCCCCAGTGGCATTTAAGGCCCACAGATGAGCCATCCCAAGGATTGGCATAGAAGCCGATGAGATGGAGCTTGACCACATCCGTTTTCTCTGAACATGCTCATCCCCTCCCAGATACACCAGCTGAAAAAATCTAGTCTCTGTGACCAAAGTTCTAGGCTGCCACTCAAAAGTGAGTCACTAGGGGGCTCTGGGGGCCCTGCTTTGACTTGAGGAACATGGATACCAGGGGCCATCAGAGACGGTCAGCTGCAGCTGCCGCTGGCCCTCTTGGTTCTCAGATCTGGCAATCAGTCAGCACCCGGCTGGCAGGGTGTCCTGAAGAGGCCTGAAGGCCCAGGAACTGTGCAGAGGTGGGGCACAGGGATGACGGTGCTGGGTAGGCATTGCCCTTCTCCTTGGACTTGCAGTTGGAGAAAGCCAAGTTAAGAGGAAGCAGATTCGTCCCTCATTTGACCCTGCGGGGGGAGTGAGGTGGGGTGGGGGGATGCTTCATCAGTTGGGATAGAAACAAGGAGACCCAGGCGCGGATGCCCAGATGAGCACATTGTATCTAGAACTGGGCTGAACGTGAAGACAGTGTGGACAGGAGAGAGACTGCACACGTGTCATGATTTCAGCTTCTCCAAAGCAATCTAAAAAAACAAGAGAGTGATAACATTGTCTACTTGTTAAACAGCAGAGAGCTGTACGTGCCACATTTGCAAGTTGGGCAGGTGTTTTGGCATCTCATGCTGTGGATAATGTTTTGCGTGGACCATAGTGTTCGCACAGTGGTGATGTAATTGCCTGCTATAGATGATGTGACCATGTCTGGTGGGGTTGTCTGGAGGTGACACCAGACAGAGCTGAAACCGGAAGCAGATTTAGAGGAGGGGGCGGATCTGAGCCTGGTGTCTCCTGTAGCCTTGGATAAACATGTGATGGACACAACCTGGTGTGTTTCAGCAGCTTCTGGGGGCAGCATTGACTCGACGCCCATGAAAGGCCCAGAGAGGCTGAATTTCACATGTGCTTGGACCCAGGAGGGCTTTGAGGAGCTACAGGAAGGTTAGAAATTGACCTTCCAAGATGCATCTTCCCTGAGATGCCCCTAATTTCCCCCCACCAGAGGTGCATAGGCAGACGCCCAACTGACCGCAGGCCTGGCCCAGCTGACCTGGTACCCAGCACGTGTGGGGAGTGTTGGTCTGGTTCTCCCCACCTTCCCAGGAGGCACTATCAGGCATCAAGGACTCGTTCACAGAGAGGGCTAAAGAACGCCGTGGAGAAGAAAGGTCTAGAAATAAGCAGAACAGAGCCACATTCCCTGCCCCGTGGCCACCCTCCCCCCTCAGGCCTCTCCTCACCTGGGTGTCTTGGGAGGAATGATGGGGCTGTAAAGACTGCTCTGCCTCTTCTGTCCTCCTCCTGTTGGCCCGTTGGTCCAGGGAGATACTGGTGGGGCTGACAGCTGCTCTCCCTGCAGGGGACCTTGGCCCTGAAGAGAGCCTGGGACAGCCAAGAGGGAAGGAATCAAGTTGCTGGTGGCTTGAGGTAGGCCCAGCAGGTGACTTGCTTACGGTCACACACGCTGATGCAGCTCCTTCCATCAACAGGTAGAGTCTGTTGGTCTAAGCAAGTCACAAGGCCACCCAAGATGCAAGAGGTGGGAGGAGCTGCCAACTAGTGTGGCCATGTTTTTCCATCCACCGCACACACATACACGCAGCTCGGCAATTCCAGTTCTCAGTGTACACTGAGAACTAGAGAGACTCTTATACAAACTAACGGGTACGAGAATGTTCATTACAGCATCGTTTGTTGTGGCAAGATCGAAAATAAAAGCACCCATCACTGGGAGACTATATAGACGAAAAATGGCATGTCCGCGCATTGGAAGACTATACAGAAATTTACAAGATGAACTAGATCTCTGTTTGTAACATGATCAAAGATTATGTTGATAGGAAAAACCAACTTGTAGAATGAAACGTATAGTATGAAATGATTTTAAGGAAATGTTTTTAAAATACAAAGACGATACCATATATTATTTGCATACATATGTACATGTAGAAGTGTAGCGGGAAATTGAAGGGATAGATGAGATTCGGTGGCTATGGGGAGTAGAATGGGTGGGACAAGGGGCTGGACCAAGGATGACGCTGCGTCTCTAACTGAGAAGAAAGATGCGTGGATAGATTGGTCCAATTTGTGAACTTGAGATCCAACACACAGAATAATTTCAAAATAAAAATATAAATTTGATAAGAGGGAGCCATGAAGGAGGAAGATAAAGGGAGAAAACTGGCCAAGGGGGGTTTCTAGAAAGTTGAAGAAAGGTTAGCAACACACATTGAGGTAGGACCCATGCACCCATGGGAGCGCCCCTACACAGAGTGTGAACGCTCACTGCTTTGCTTTATCTTTTTATTGTTGCTCATTTCTGTTTATTCCTGCAACGTACCCCCTTTTTCAGAGAGGCCAGGCTGTTTCCATCATCTGGATAAAGTTGGTATTGGCCATAGTTTAGACTTTACGGGCAAAGCAGCTGCTGCTGTTATCCAAATGGGTGGCTAGAGCTAAATGGGTCATTATTTGTTCATTGATTGATTAAGTGAATATTTATTGAGTACCATTTATGTGTCCGATGCCAAATCAAGCATTGGAGATACACCAGTGACCCCAACAACCTTGCCTCCTACTATCATGGAGCTTACACGTGGAACAGTCCTACCCGGTGAGAGGTTGCTCCCAGTGAGAGGAGTGGAGAAGTTTCCGCTCCTCCCCTGAATTATCCACTCTGCTGTGGTTTTATGGCTTTTTCTATCTTCCCCTCCTGAGCAGAGTTAATACTCAGAGGCCCTGAGGTCCCCACTCATAGCAGGTTGAGAGAAAGTGTGGAGAGGGCAAACCTTCCCTGCCCTAGGTCAGAAGCCACCTTTGGGGTGTCCTGCCAACGCCATCTGCACTCTTGCGCTCTGAGCCATTCTTGCCAAGACCTGCCATAATGATCAGGCTCTGCCTCCAAATGGGGAACCCAGGGTTTCTGGGTGCTCCTTTCCCCAGCACCTTTCTACATCTACATTAAGCTACACATGGAGGGGATTGGCAACGTGTGATTGGCATTCTCTTGATTGACAACAATCCTATGGAGTTCTTTCCGGGGCGGGGGTGGGGGGGGCATGAATATGGTCCCTGTTCTGAGCTAAGGGGGGTGGGAGACCTTGCTTGGGTGAGCAAGAAAAAAGTCTAAAGGAGGCCACAGCTAGGATGGACCCATCTTGTCCTAACTCCTCTCCACTCCCCAAACATATCCTACATGCTTGCCCTTCCGTGCTCTCTCTTATGGCGTGTTTGCCACCTGGACTGTGCCCTCACCTTAGGAATATAAGACCCAGTCCAAATGTCACCCCCTCTAGAAAGCCTCCCATGACCCCTCACCCGGCCCCAGCCTGAGCAGAGACCTGGGGATGATAAGAGCCTACGTCAGTGGAGCTCTGACTTTTTGCTTTATGTGTATTATCTCACTTAATCCTTGTTTAATTCCCAGCTTGAGGGAAATTGAGGCTCAGAGAGGTTACAAGGCACCACAAGGCCTCCAGCCAGCAGGTGGAAGATCTAGGATTTGGGTCTAACTCGTCTGTCCAGTCCTTGGGAAAGGAGGGGTCCCAAGAAGGGCCACTGCCAGCCCTCCTCGCCCCCCCCAGGCAGGCTGTGGAGCCCTCCCTGCTGCAGCCATGGCTCGGACACACCTGTGATCAGTCGTTTTATGTGGCAGCACATTGGGAACCAGGAGGTGCCCTGTGCTCCCCAGTGCACTGCCATCTGGCTCCACCCCACTCCAGTTCCCACCCACAGCGTTCACACCCAGGCCTCCAGGGACCACCCTGTGGCCAAACCCAAAGGCGCTGTTCAGGCCTCTCCCATCCCCCCCACCCCAACTCACTGCTCATGGCTCCTGAGTCGCCATGGCACGCACCTGCTCCTCCTCAGCTTTCTGGCTACCCCTGCTTGGATTCCCAGCAGGCTCCTCTGTGCAGCCCTCAGCTGCTGCCTTCCACCCAGCCCCTCTTCTCCTCTCAACTCCCAGCCTCTCCAGGGCGTTCTTGCCCATGTTCATGCGTGGCCACAGCTGAGGACCCAGGTAACTCCAACCCAGGCCCCTGCTGGAGGATCCAGTGGATATCCTCCACCTGGCTGCCCCACAGGCACCCCTGCCGTCTCGGCATGCCCATAGCTGAACTGTTCTCTCCCAAATGCCTGCCCCTCGCCCCTGTAGGCCCACCATCCACCACCCAAAACGGAAACCTGGAGCCACCCTGGACTCCTTCCTTCCTGTGGCTCTCATTGAAAGAGTGGCCAAGTCCTGCTAATTCAACTTCTTAAATGCCTTTCTCATGCCCTACCTCTTTTCCATCTCTTCTACTCGAGCTCCAGCCCTCTCATCTCCTATCTGGACCATTCAAGTTCTATCCCACGTGGTTTCTTTGGTCCAGGTCCCCCACACTGTCGCTGATGTCCTGGTAATATTTCTCCCATCAGGGACAGCCCTTTCCACCAACATGGACTGAGGGTCCAACATGTGTCTGTATAGTATTGGGTGTCGCAGAATCCACGTGACCAACACCGTTCTTTCTAGAAGCTCAGACGTAACAGCAAGTAAAGAATGAATTGACATACAAATCACAAACTATGGTAGCGAATGGCACAGTGGGAGCACTCAGGGCCACTTGACAGTCTTAGGCGGCCATGCAAGGGATTTTGGAGGGCCTGACGGCTGAGATGAGTGAGGACCTTCTCATTGTCAAAGGCTAAAGTTTAAACTCTCCGGCTGGCTTATAAGACCCTTTGTGAGCTGGCCCATGGCTACCCCCAGCCTCATTCTCACCCCCACCACACACACACACACACACACACACACACACAAAGAGCTCTCTTCAAACAGGCCCGACCACCACGTGGCAGCGGGCAGGGGTGCATCTCCCTGCCATTCGGCCCAGGCACAACATCTTGCATCAAGGATCGTGTCAATTTGCGAGCTCGCAAATCGGCATTTAGCTCGCGTGCCAAAGTCCACAGTCCTAAGTTTCGGTGGCAGAAAGACATTGCTGAAAATAATTGTGCCTGGCAGCGCTGGGCTCGTTCCAAAAGCTGTCCGGTGCTCCAGCACGCGTGGAATCTTTGGTTGCTCTATGCAGCGGCCAGATGCCTCCATATCCTGCCCAATTAATCTGGAACGAGTTGGACTGTGATAATGTACATTCACAACAACCTGCTTCTGGAAGAAGGACCACAAAGCGGCTTCCCTGCCCCTTCCCCTCTTCCCTGCCTGTCTGCCTCCCACCACTCACCCGAGGGCCCTGCCGCTGCCAGCCCCCCACAGGTAAACGGTACCAGGTTGTGGCAGAAAGCGACAGCCCCACCAGCAAGCTGGCAGCAGAGCCCCCTGCACTGCCAGCCATTAGCCACTGACTACAGTCCTGCTGGCTCCAGCAGGCGACGGTTGCAAATTCCTGCTCGCTGCCTCTCCCGGGAAGGAGTCCATGCACCGAGCCCTTTCCTGGAAGTGACTCTGGCCCATTTCAAACAGTTGAAACTCCGGACGCATTCCTGAGGGCTGGCTTCTGCAGGCAGGGCCTGTTTCCCCTTCTTAGCGCTCCTCAAAGAACCAGAAAGATGAGAGGCAAGAAAGGGAAAGAAGGTACCTGAGTAGCTGTTGGGTGCTCTCTCTATGTTACCCTCATTCTTGCTAATGCGCAAACTGGAAGCTCAGAGAGGGTGAGTGTAGAGTGTAAGGCCACCCAGCTGGTCAGAGATCTCAGGTGAGGCCTCCTGACTCCATCACACCCCACTGCCTGCACGCCCCCTACCCCCTACCCCTGCCCCTGTCACTCAATCCCTTTACCAAGGGTGGGGGACCATGCAGACCAGACATCTACATCTACGATAGCATTGTTCAAAGGCCCACTTACTTCTTCCTCTCCTTCCCCCTTTCCTTGGCCCCTCTCCTCCAAACCCTCACATTCTGGTCCCAAGACCTCAAGGGGCCTCTTCTGCAACTGTCCCAGTTCCCACTTCCTTCTTCTCAATTTCTGGCTATTCTCGGAGCACAGAGAATGCCTGACTCCAGAAAGGGCATCCGGGCCTGGCGGATGGCTGGAAATGTCCCGGAGCTTGCAGGGGAGTCGTTCTTAGGAAATAAATGACCCAAGAAACCGTTAATGATATGCTCCTCTCGGGAAACCGGAAACTTTAGTGAACTCTCAGACTGGCGAGCTGGTTTGAGTTTGCACTTTTTGCCGAGGTTGTTCTTTTTCTTCTTTGCTGTTTCTTTGCCCTCCACCCTCCCCAGTATCTACACACAGAGCAAACAGCCAAGTCTCGCACCCAGCTTTCTTAGCCTCCGCTCCCATTGGATGCTCGAAGTGGTGAACTTGTCCTCCACTGCCTCCTTCCAGCACTTTCTCCCCTGCTGTCACCCCCACCCTGACACCCTCACCACACCCTCACCCCCACCTCCACTCGCTTCCAAGAGAGAATCTGTCTTCGGGCACCCACCACGACCAACAGAAATACCAAATGTTCACTTCCCACCAGCACCGACAGTTCTGTTTTTTTCTGGATTCTGGACCGAGCGTGGAGCTCAGGAACAAGGAGAGAAGCAGGAAAGGGGGCAGAGGCGGAAGGGATGGGATATTGAATTGTCCCCCGAGACAACCGGCATCAAAGTCAAGCAAGGTTTCAAAGTAGGGATTGACTCTATCGGCTGGGCTTCTGGCGGCTGCGTCAGTCCAAGAACCAGAGGGGCTGGCCCGTTTCCGGCCGTTCTGGCACGAGGTCTCTCCACTCACGCAGAAAGTCACTCCAACAATTAAGTTCGGTCCCTTTGTTTCCCCTCCCCTCCCTCTCTCTCTCCCTCTCTCTCTCTGCATCCTGCGAGTGCCACGTCCCGCTGTGCAGGGTACCGCAGCCACCCTCCCTGTCAGGCCGTTTCGCGGCGGTGCTGCGGCGCCGTGGAGAGGAGCTAATTGGGTTTGTTGTCACCTCCTGAAGCTGCCAGGAGCTCACGTCTGCTCTGGTTACAGATGAAGACATCACGGTGACAGGCTCAGAGACAGCTCAGCTGGCATCGCAAGGCCACTAATAGAGCCATGTTGATTTAATGTCCGAGTGGAGAGGTGCAGACAAGCTGTTCAAGTTTTCCCTTCCAAACAAAGCAGGGCTGCACCATCCGTCATCTGTGGATCAGTAAATAAGCATCCGTGTGCCTCCAGGAGCTCTTAACCCTTGCCACAAAAGAATGACAAACTATTTTAAATGGGGAGACGGGACTTTGAAACAGAGCGTCTCTCTGGTTTATCCTGCCTTCAGGGAGCCCGGCTAATGCTCCAAACATAAATTTTACTTAACTATGTGACTATGAGTCAATCCTATTAGCCTTAAAATTGCCCGCTCGCTAAAGGTGTGCCCCTGTGTCTGTGGCCTCTGGGGTGTGGGGCACATGGAGAGGCACCAGTGAAGAGGAGAAGATCTGTTTGTTTTCAATGGAGTCATTCATCTGTTCAATAGGCATTGAGAAAGCACCTACTGTGTGCTGGGCACTGAGTGAATGAGATATGGTACCGGCACTGGAGAGGCTCACGGGTGAGGTGTAGACGGACACACAGACAGGCAGTTACAGCCCAGAGCAATAGACGCTGAGAAGGAGAGAAAAACAGGAGGCAAGGAGTGGAGGGGGCACCGTTCACTTTGAGGGTCTGGAATGGGTTCCCAGTGGAAGAAGCATCTGAGCCTCCAGGTCCGCTTTCAGAGGAGTGAGGGGATTTGCCACATCCCTCTTCACTCTGGGCAGCCAGGGTCTGGAATGGGGTGCAGCTGGGGTGATCATTCCCCTCGGTCCAATGGAGCAGTGATGGGCAGTCATGTCCCTCCAAGCCACTGGTGTGACTTGTGGTCCCCTTGGGCCTGCAGAGGCCTGAGGGTTTTAGAGAGGAGGATGGGTGTCACAGGGTGATGTGTGTCATGGCACGTGAGGGCTGAGAGCTCTGGGTGGTGGGTTCCATGGAGGGCCAGGTCTCGGAGCTCAGACTGCATACACAGCACGTCATCCCTCCACTGCGGACTGGGGCCAGCCCTCTGCTTCCCCACAGCTCCTGAGAATCCAAATGATGCCCTTCAAGGGAATTCTCCTCTCAGACCTGGCGTATGCCAGGCTACTGACCACCCATGGACCATTCTCAGTGAGGGAGCCTAAGCAGCGGGATATTGAAAATATTTAAGTCAGAACAGACACTGGCCAGTGCTTCATGTCAGCTGGACATCACCCTCGGGCCCAAGCATCGAAATGCCTAGCCCGTAGCCCCTCTCCCTGTCCCTGCCCCAGCCTCTCTTTAAGCCCTCACCCCAAGAGCCCACATACCACTCCCTTCCTCAGCCCTGATCCCTAATGGCCCAGTGGAAACTGTGTCAGAGGCAGCCCCACAGCTTGCCAGAAGGGAAGTCCTCAGGGCCGCTGCAAACTGGTGAACCATCTGAAACTCGTCGTGGGAAGGGATCTACCCCACAACCAAGGATGCAAACTCAAGCAGAGGACCTTAACATAATCTCAGATGAGGGAGTAGAGCCCCCGCATCATTACAAAGACCTCCTGCCCCCTCAGCTGAACTGTGGCCTACCCTACCCTGACCATCCTACAGTTACAGAAAAGTGGATAGAACTTGGCATGCCCTAATTCTTGGAAGAGAAAACAGACTGATCTCAAATATGATGGGAGAGGGGCTGGGAAGTCACCCCCACACCCACAGGTATCTTCCCAAGCCCATGCCAACACAGCACGCAGAGCCGCCCCAATGGAGGAAACCTGACAATAATAACATGGCACCCATGCAGGCAATCTTCAAGGGAGAAGCGGGGGAGGGAAGGAGAGAGAGACAGAGAGAGACAGAGATCCTGACCTACAGGAAAACATAATTCTGGGAAGAGAAGGAAATTCCTCCTCATTGAACAACTAATGACCATGGTAACTCAATAAAACAGGAGCCGAAAGACAAGGTAATAAAACAATGGGAAGAGATGAAAAGGGAGATTGCTCAGACATAAAGGAACAGACTGGAGCAAAACATCACTGCAAGAGTCATAACTAACTTTTAAACAATAAGGAACAGAATAACAGAAAACATAACGGAAAAGCTTGAGAAAAATCAGTGAACACGGATGAAATAAAGAGATCAAAGTAATTAGAGAGAAGTTAGTACGGAAAATGGATGAAGATGGTACAACATAAGAAGCGTGGTCCCTGAGGTAAATGATCCAACAAGGAGAACAGAAGATGTCTTTAAAGAAAAAATAGAAAAAAATTTCTCTTAAATGGATAACTTTTTCAATGGATCAAAAACATATCTATTCAGTGTTCCAGAAAAACTTAACTCAGAGCCATCAACACTGAAACATGGCCCGATTAAACTCTAGAATATCAAGGCCAAAAATGAGTTCTTTGAAGGCCAAGACAGAAAAAGCAAATCACCCACAAAGGGAAAAAAATCCAGTTGGCCAAAGACATGTCTGCAGCCACGTTCAATGCCAGGAAGCACCAGAGAAATAGCTACAGGGTTCTAGAGTAACCAAGAGAATTATAACCTGAAAGGATGCTATTTGAGTATAATAGTAACAGGAGATATTCTCAAACATAATAAAATTCCAGGACTATTGTACCCAAGCCCTCGAAAAAATGACTTATCATTGAAACCAACCAGTTCAAATAAAGAACCACAAAAGGAAGAGGTTGGTGAAAGCACCAGGGCAGGGATTGGATCCACTTAAATACGGAACTAAAATTCAACAACATAGAATTATGGCTTTAAAAGAGACTTAGTATTATAAAGTATCAGAACTGGATGGTGGGGATGGGAGGAGGTGTGAGAGTCAGCCTCAGAGCTGAGAGTCAACTGTTCGTGCTGAAACGGAAGCATGGAGGGACTTAGAGTTCAGCAGGAGAGGCGAAACACACATTTACTCTGGGTCCAGGAACCCCACCTAAATGATGATAACGGAACAAAACAGTTATAAACCCACAAGAACAAAGAAAACAGGAACGATTACACAGCAGGTGAGAGATGTCAACTAAATTTTGGAAGATGGACAGTTGATGGATCAGTGGTAACTGACTTAGCGCACCAGAGAGTGAAAATTTAATTGATTTCAAGGGGTGGGGAGAAGGGTGGGCAATAAGAAGCAAGCCAGTTCCCCCCACAGAAGCCCAGACAGGCCCAGGAGCCAGGAGAACCAAGGACGTCTGAAGGCTGGAGGATAAGATGAGGCTGAAGACAGGGAGGATTGGCGGAAAGTCATCATAAGGACAGCAAGACCAGAAGCACCAGCTAGGATGACCAGCTGTCCTGGTCGCCTGGGCCTGAGGGGTTTCCCAGGATATGAGACTTCCAGTGCTAAAACCAAGATGGCCCCAGGCAAACCAATGAGTTTGTCACCCTACCACCAGGTATCCTCCCCACCCCCACCCTCTGCTCCTATGAAACTGCCCCTCTCACCCCAGGAGAAGACTGGAATAAAGTTTACTTTGTGATGAAAATGAGCCAGGTTGTGTATTCAACAACCCCAGGCTCAGCAAAGACCCTACTGAAAATAGAGGGGTTAAGAGAAAATTTGTTGGGAGAATCCAGCCTCACTCCAGGCTCCTGGAGTGGTTGGTTCAGAATTGGTTCAGAATCTTGGAAGCTGGACTTATATCCCACCCTCCCCTCCATACACAGCCCCACCAGTAGGAGATTCAGAGATTCACCTTTGAGGAAACTGTCCAAGAGGAAAGATCTACAGATACTAACATTTGGGAACCCACCCCCCAGGAGAATGACCAGATCCCCATCCAACATCCTCTATGAGAAACATCAAACCACAAGCGCTGCCCCTGGCCCTCTCAGCCTTTTAGTGCCTCGTCTTAACTGTGGATGGACAGCCAAGGATCGCCACAGATGATCACCAGAACCGGAGAAAAGCCTTTAACAGAAAGATATAAAAAGAAAAAAAATTAAGGAAACAGCAACAGAAATCATAGAAAATACTGCATCTGATAGATAAGACTGGATGCTTGCAAAACAACAATAATACAAGGAACAACCAGAGAGCGAGAAAAGGGCCCGAGAAGTTAAAAATAAGATTGAAGAAATTTTAAACTCAGCAGACAGCTCAGAAGGCAGAGTTGAAGAAACCTCCTCAAAATCAGAAGGAAGAAGATCAAAGAGATGCGGTCAAAGCACAGATTCAGCAGACCAAAATGGGAGCAGCAGCGAGCTGTTCTCCTCTTTGTCATTTTGTGAGTTTTCCAAATTTTCCACAATGGGCACATATCAATTTTATAGTTAGAAGAAAAAAGTATATAAAGATGACATAGTCAAAAGCCTGTGACAGCACAATAGGCAGCGTGCTGGGAACTCGGGGAGGGGCGCTGGGATGGGCTGGGGAGAGGGCTGCCAGATGCCCCTCCTTCTCCATGGCACCCAGATCCCTCAGCAGCGGGGGGTGGGATTCGCAGAACCTTCCTCTGCCGGGCGCTCAGACACTCAGGGCCTGGTGGGACAGGGCTTACGAGAGGCCGGGGAGGGGCGGCCAGTTGGGCAGAGACTGAAAGGCAAGCCAGAGCCTAAGTTAGACGAGGTGCGTGACTTTTCTCCACGACCACAAAGCACCAAACAAGAGGCGTGCCGAATAAACGCCCGGGAGCCACCAAGTGGGAAGAACTAGGTAGCGGTGCCTCCACGGAACGAGGAGGATCGTAACCTCTCTCATCACTCACGAAGGCTACAGCTCCTCCTTCCATCCAGCAAGCCTAACCCAACGCCTTCTCGGTGCCAGGCCCCCTGCTAGCAGCCAGAAGAGGGGAGGGGGGCAAAGAGGAGAAAATGTTCCAGGCGGAGGGAAGAGGAGGCACTAATGTTCTGAGGTGGGAGACCTTGCAGAAGAGGGAAAGGAACTGAGCCGGTCGTGTGAGTGCCACCAGCAAGGGACGGGCAGGAGCCTGGAGTGAGGCTGGAGAGACCATCTGGCCTGAGAGTGCCCAGCCTCGGCAGTTCTGCTGAGGATTTGGGCTTTTGTTAGACCGGAGTTTGGAATCAGGAGGTGTGGCCACCAGTGACTTTGGTAAGTCCTTTCTCATCTCTCTGGGCCTCGATGTTCTCACGTCATAGACGTGAGCACAATAGCTATTTCTATCCAGCAAATGAGGGACAGAACCTAGGAGATGAGCCGTCAGCGCAGGAGGAAGAAGCCGGATGCCGCCGCGTCCAGCATCTCCACAGCACAGACGAGAGGCGCCTGCCCTCGGAGAGGAGGCGCCCGGAGCTGTGCAGGCGGGAGGCCGGAAGGTGCGGCTGAAAAAAATGAACCAAACATGATTCAAATCCCGGCTCTGTCTTTACTAGTTACTCTCTCTCAACCTCGGGTACCTCATCCGGAAAATGGGGATAATGACACCCACCAGCAGGTTGTCGTTAGGACTAGTCATGAAAGAGAAAAAGTGTTTCCATAGTGCCTAGCACTGCTTTAACTCCACCTGGCGGCATGATGAGGGTGCATGGGGAGTTACGAAGCCTGGTGTTTGCACTGTTTAGAGGCTGTTAGCCCCAGAAGGCTCTCCTGGTCTCTGCAGGTGCAGGAGCGGCCGCAGATGTGAGATCCAACCATCAGTACCTTCCCAGCTGCCCACGGGTCCCTGGCAGCCCGAGGATCTCTGCTCCTGGTGTTTTCCGATCGGGGAGACGGCTGCAATTACAGCACACCCCAGAACCGCCCTCTTTATCCCTAAAAACACATTCTCTGTGTGGGAAAGTCCGGGGGACCAAGTGACTCTCGCTCTGACCACTGAGTCTCAGACCTGGCCCTTGCGGGTCTCTTGGGCTGCCTCCCACTGCCCACAACAGGGGACGCCAGGAGACTCAGTTCCTTCCCCTGCTTCCCTGGTCACCCCGAGTCTGGCCGTAACTGTCTCCAAAGCTTTAACTCACCACCAAGGGAGGACAAGAGGGAACTCAACACAGGAGCCCAAGAGGCGGGAATCAGGTCCATCTGACACAGGGCAGGGTCCTGACCCCGTCAGAGCTAGCTGCTTCCCCACGCTCCCCCTGCCCTGCCTGAGCAGTATTCCGGGGTCCCATGTGACCCCACACCCAGGTCTAGGTGCTCCATGACTCCTGGGAGAATACACCCATGGGAGAGGGGGAGCTATAGCAGGTCGCCTCACTGTCACAAGGGAAGTGCTGTGACAGCTGGGGCATAGGGAGTGGCTGGGGCCAGCCTGGGGGTCAAGGCTCCAGATGAGGGCATGTTGAGCAGAGTCTTTAGAAATGAGCATCAGCAAGGGGCCAGCCCCATGCCCCAGTGGTTAAGTTCACGCACTCCGCTTTGGTGGCCCAGGTTTGGTTCCTGGCCGCGGACCTACACCACTCGGCACCCATGCTGTGGCAGCAATCCACATACAAACTAGAGGAGAATTGGCACAGATGTTAGCTCAGGGCTAATCTTCCTCAAGCAAAAAGAGAAAGATTGGTGGCAGATATTAGCTTAGGGTGAATCTTCCTGAGCAATTAAAAAAAAAAGAAATGAGCATTAGCAAGAGAAAAGAGGGTTTGGAGCAGCCTTATGGAAAGAGAGCAGCCTGGACTACAGAGGCTGCACAAAGCAGCCCTGTGTCGATGCATCTGACAAATAATTACCAAGTTCCTACTATGTGCCAAGCACCACTTTAAATGTTGGGGAGACGTGGTGTGTTAGGGTTCTCTGGAGACACAGAACCAATAGCGGCTAGATAGATACAGATGTAGATATAGATATAGGCATAGTTATAGATAGAGATACAGATATAGATATAGATACAGATTTAGATACAGATATAGATATAGATCTAGGTATAGATATAGATATAGGTACAGATATAGATATAGATAGATATAGATATAGATGTAGATATAGATACAGATACAGATATAGATACAGATAAAGATATATAAGATTTATTATAAGGAATTGGCTCATGTGGTTATGGATGCTGAGAAGTTCCATGATCAGCCATCTGAAAACTGGAGACCCAGGAGAGCCGGTATTGTTGTTGTGAGAACCAGAGGGCAGATGGTGTAAGTTCCGGTCAAGGGCAGGAGAAGACTGATGTCCCAGCTCAGCAGTCAGGGAGAAAAAGTGAATTTCCTTCCTCCCTTCCTCTACCTTTTTGTTCTACTCAGGCCCTCAACTGATTGGATGAGGCCCACTCACATTAGGGAGGGCCGTCTGCTTTACTCAGTCCCGTGATTCAAATGCTAATCTCATTCAGAAACACCCTCACAGACACACCCAGAAATAATGTCTAATCTGGGCACCCTGGGTCCCAGTCAAGTTGACATAAAATTAACTGTCACACATGGTCAACAAGAATGACTCACCCCTGCCCCCCTACAGCTTATAGTCTAGTGAAGAGAGACAGATAATACGGAAATAAATAACCAAGATAATTTCAGATAATGATAATGGTAGGAAAAAAAATAAAACAAAAATTGTCATTTGGTAGTGGGTCTGGGCAGGGGGCAGGACTTACTTTAACCAGAGTGGTCCAGGAAGCTCTCTCTGAGATGACAGTTAGGGCTCCTGAAAGATGAGACAGAGCCCATCAGGTGGAATGGAGGAAGAAGGTACCAAGTACAGAAAATAGCATAGGCAAAGGTCCTGGGACAGGACTTGGCTTGTCTGAGAAACAGAAAATAAAAAAACATAGTGCATGGAACATGAGAATGAGGGCGGAAGAAAGTGGAGCTAGGAGGAGCCAGATCTCTTATGGCCTTGCAGGCCATGTGCATCAGTCACCTAGTGCTGCATAACAAAATACCCCAAAACTTGGCAACTTAAAACAATAACAGTCATTTATTTAGCTTCTGGATATGCAATTTGCACAGGGCTTGGTAGGGAAGGCTTGTCTCTGCTCCACACGGCGTCAGCTGGGATGGCTGGATCAGGGGGCTGGAGAGTTCACTTCAAGGCTGGCTCACTCACATGGCTGGCTTCAGCTGTGGGCTGGAGGCTGCTTTCCTTTGCACGTGGGCCTTTCCATGGACTGCTCCAGCTTTCTCCCAGGGTGGTGGCTGGGTTCCAAGAGTGAGTGTCCCAAGAGAACCAGGCAGAAGCTGTATCATCCGTTGCACGATCTAGCCTCAGAAGGAGAGCCTTTTCCACCATAGTCGAAAGCCCATCCAAATTCAAGGGGAGGGGATATAGACCCCACCTCTCAAGGGGAGGAGTCTCAGGGCCACACTGTAAGAAGAGCATGGGGGATGGGAGATAGGGGGATGGTCATTTTGGGAAAATACAACCTGCCCCACCCTGGCAAGGAGCTGGGTTTCACTGAACAAGTGACAGCACACAGTGGGATGGCAACATGACTTGATTTACATTTTCAGAAGATCGTGCAAGCTGCTGGGTAGAGAGTGGATTGGAGGGGCTGAGTGGAAGGAATTTGGGGTTATAGCCACAGTTCAGCTGAGGGTTGATGGCAGATTTGCCCCAGTGCAGGCAGTGGAGATGGGGAGCACCAGGAAACACACACAGCTTGGTTTACTGGCGCATGCAGTGACCAGACCCTGTGACATGTCAAGGTGGGCCATGTGTGGCATGCTCGGAGGTCTAGACTTTATCCTGGGACAGTGGGGACCTGTTGAGGGATTTAAAGAAGGAATATGATCAGGACTGTGTTTTAAAGGCAACCCTCAGAGAACACTGAATCTCGGACAAGACCCAATCTGACCTGTGTAGGAATGGCCTGGAGAACCAGGGACTGAGCCACCTCGACAGGTTCAGGAAACTCACCAAATGCCGGTGGGCCACCCACTCTGTTTCAGGCCCTAAGCCAGTCATGGAGGCTTTCCCTCTGAATTCACAGAGCTTTTGGATTCTATCGCCTTCTTGCCTCTCTGGGACACATCTGTTGTTTCTGCCTGCCCAGCGTCCCTTCCCTCTTTGTATCAATCAGCTTTTACTGGACGGTGCCACAGTAACAAACGATCCCCGGATTCTCGGTGACTTAAAATGGCATCTATTTCTCACATACGGTTCACGTAGGCTTCAGGTTTAGCTGCTGCTCTGTTTCACAGTGTGTCTTCCTTGTTTTTGTTTCAGGTGTCTTCTTTATTTTTGGACCCAGCGTCTATTTGTGACAGCCTTTTCTAGAGACAGAGGGAGAAGAGGAAGAGAGCTGACAGAAATCTGTAATGTGAAAGCTCTTGGAGCTTCTGCTCAGACATGGCATACATCACACCTGCCCACATGCCATTGGCAAGTCCCATGCCAAGCTCAAGGTCAGCGGGGAGGGAAAGTAAACTCCCCAGCAGGAGGCGCTGCAAGTCAGGGGGCGCGGAGCGGATGTATACTCCTCCGACAGGAAGGAGGATAAAGAGCCGAGAGCAATGATACAATCCACCACCCACTTCATCTGGTAACCCTTTGGCCATAGATGTTGGTTCAAGGATGGGCGCGAGAACCAATCCACGCCAACTGAGTCAACGAGATTCATTTCTAAGCCTTTCGTTTGGGCTGAAGGCAAAGAGAAGCATTTATTCCCATTGGCGCTTCTGAGAAGGTGGATGTGAGCCTGGAGCTTCCGGCAGCTGTCTTGGCACCACATGGGGACAGCCTGATGAGGATGGAGCCCTTCCAGAAACAGCAGGTGCAAGACCAGGTGCCAACAACCTCACTTGGGCCCCTGCAGCCAGTTGTGGAAGAAGCTACCCTTGGTCTGTTTGGTACAAGAATCCGTTCAAGCCGTGTGAGCTGGCTTTCTGTCACTTGCCACCCAAAGAGTCCTGATGAATACTGCAATCTAGTTAGACCCCCTCTTCGACTTTTCCAACTGAACTTCCCTGAGGGTTTGCTCTGCCTCCCTAAGGAGACATAAGCTCCTTATGGATAGAAACCCATGGTACATATCTTTAATCACGCTGAGCATCTAACCCACTGCTGAGCACACGTTTGCAGGAGAAGCATTTATTGGGCATTTAGTCTGTGGCAGGCATTGCGCCAGATTCTTTTACGTGTCATATATCATCCCAACCTTTGAGGAACTCTGTAAGGTAAATATTACTGTCAAGATTCAAAAAGAGTAAACTCTGTCCAAGTCACACTGGAGTCAGTAACAGAGCGGGACCTGGAGCCCACGTGAGCCTGTGCTGTTGGCAGTATTGTCCCCCAGACCTTCCAGACCTTCTCCTAGTGCTCCAACTCAAGGGGACACGTCACTGCCCTCAGGCTGGCCTGCTTGTGACCAGGGACAGTGAGACGGCCAGCCAGGGCCAGGTCTAGACTCTGTGGGCATCGGGTGAGCCTCTCTGCCTGGCCCAAAACCCTAGGGCTCTCACCCTGACGCCCAGCCCAGCCTTCCCCTGACCAAAGGCCACCGGACCTGAAAACAGGCCCTGAAGACCACATTCACTTAATTCTACCAACTCTAGAACCAGCCGTCTCTGGGCCTGCCTTCCGCACCTCTTCCCGTAGGTCTTGCGGGCTGAAGCCACCTCCTGCCGAAATTCCAAGCATTGCCAAGCCCCCAGACCATGGTGCCCACGCTGCCCTGAGTCGTCTGCCTTCCTTGAACTCCCTGTCCCCAGGATCCAGCCCTCCTACCCTCACGTTATTAAATATAACCCCCAATTGCAGGAAATATGCAAAAACTGTTTATCTTTGGAAACGAAAATATATGAAACTGAGTCATCAGGCAAATTATATGCATCAGTAAGTGATAAACATTCAGGGCCAGCAATCCTGAAATAGCGCATGAGAGCCTTTTCACTACTCCTCTTTCTGCCTACAGAGCACTTCTGAGCAAAGTTCATCACTGGCAGTACAGAGTCAAGCCCCATGGAGCCTTTCCCATCAGTCCTGGCAGCTCAGAGGGTGCTGTGGGGGCACCCGGGGCAGAGAAACCCCAGGGCCACTGACCCAGCCCTCCCCCTCTCCACCCCAGGGCAAGGCTGGTGGGACATCTCTTTCCTCCTGATGCACCCAAGACCCCTTCGGTTAGACAGCTTGGGACTGGGAGGAAGTCCAGTAAATGTTCCTCTTCCCGACGTTCTCTCAGAGCACCAGCCCGAGGGGCTGGTCACGAATGCAGCTCATCAACCAGTCTGACCAGAGAGGGGCCAGGGCAAAGCTGGGGAGCTCAGAGCCCTGTGCCCCAGTGCTCTCCTTCACCAAGGCCCTCAGAGGGACCACAGCTCCTGGCAGCTCCCCTCCCGTGTGGAGTCCTCCCCTGCTCTTTCCATCCCCTTCCCCCCCACCCTTCCCCCAGACATGCACACACCTCTTCCTTCCCCTCCCACACGCCTCCTGACCACGTGGTGTCCCTGCAAATAAGATACAAAGCCCCTGGGCGGCACCGGGCTGGATGGCAGGAGACCCGAATTCCAGTCCTGACTCTTCCCCAACTCACAGCGTGACTTAGACCTTCTCTGGGCTTCTTTCTACATCTGTAATCTGAGTCTCTAGTCTAAGTCCCCTGTTGATCCATGATTGATTTTCTGGTTCTAAACAACTGCTCTGGATAATCCAGCCACTACTACAGACGCTCACTCGTTCATTCAACAAACCCCCATGGGGCATCTCCTGTGTGCCGGGCACTGTGCTAGGCCTTGGGGAGCTGGAGCAATTGAGACAAGGTCCCCCCTGTGAGCTGCTCGCAGTGTGGGGCCTGGGGCACTCCCTGGACGAGGTGCCTGCTGCATTATGAAGCGACACGCCACCCTCTCTGTCCTGGACCGGACCACGGTGCCATTCCACGGCCTTTATTTGCTTGCCTTCTGCATGGAGAGGTCATAATTTTAGTTTAGCACACTGGTTAAAATCTCAGCAGAACTGAGTTCTGATTCAGATGCCCCCACTAGTCTTTCTGTGCCTCAATTTTCTCTCTTGAAAATGCAAATAATACAGAGCAACCTTAGAGGGATACCACGGAGATTACATGAGATCAAGTGTAGTATTTGGCACAGAGTAAGCAGTTAATTAATGCTGGGTTGTTGTCATAAAGGGAGTCCCTCCCACCCACCAGGGCTGGCCCATGCTGAACACACTGGTGTTGCACAAACTGGTATGGTTTTCTCCAGCTCAGGTGTGGCTCCAAATCTACTCTCAGCTGTCAGCTCCCAGGATGACCCAATGCTGGCCTCCAGCCCCTCCGTCCTGAGTCTGAGTTCTGGCTCTGTCACCAAGGAGCTGTCTGTCCTCGGCCTCAGTTGTCATCTGAAACGTGGAGCTGATGTCACACCTTCCCCGCCGCAGGGCTGCTGTGAGGATTGAATGCAATGCATCCACAGAACCTGTCGTAACTGTGAAGGGTTCCGTGCCTCAGGGTTAGTGTCTCGTAAAAGCAGAAGGTCACTCTATGTGTGTGGGGTCCGCTGGGATGCTTTAGGCTGCAAGTAACAGAAACACCGACTCAAAAAGATTTAAGCAATAAAGAAATTCATCGCCTCACGTAAAAAAGACCCTGAGGCGGCACCAACTTCAGACCTGGTAAGTCAGCTGACCAGCCTCAATGTCAAGGAGACGGGAACCTAGACCAATCGCAACCCACAAAGCCATCGCCAGGTGGAGGAGGGTGGATCCTGAGCAAATCCGAATCTGCCAGCAGGGAAGAAGGAGGATTGGACTCGAGCACACAAGACTGTCTGCCATACCCGCTCGCACAAGAGCTTTGAGTGTGAACATTCTCATCTCCTTGCAAAGCGTTCTTAGCATTTCCTAACGGCATTGAGAAAATGCATAACAAGACTTGGTGAAACCTCGATTGCGAAGAATGTCCTTGATGCTTCACACCCAAAAGCCACAGGTCACATCAGCTCAGAGAGCAGCAGTCTTGGGTGGATTCATTGCCGATCGCCCCACATCCCCACGTCTAGCAAGTCATTGTCCCGGAAAATGCCTAAGACTGTCTCCATGAATCTTCCTCCAGCCTAGGGATTACAAGTGGCTGGGAAAGCAGTGGAGGGGAGCAGAGGAGGGAGGACACTATACCCTCACGGCCCGCCAGGCCATCTGGACCCTCCCCACCCTCCTCGCTCCTGATCTGCTTCTGCTCTGATCCACCCCCCAACAACACACTCTCGGCCCGCCGCCCCGACTGTGCTGGCCCCGCCAAGACTG